TAAGAATTCTGGCAATCCTTCGGGAATCAGTGAACCCTGAGAATCCCGAGGGAATCCTACGAATCTTCGGGGATTCTTCTAGGAAAACTTGGGAATCCCTGTCGCTGATCCCATGCGCGCTGTATGGGATCCCACACAGGTCCCATATAGCCTGGTAGGGTTTGGTTCGGCTCTGGTTGGATTCATATAGGGTTGGAAACACTCCCCCATGGGGCCGTAGCCCACCCCCAAGGGGGGGGGCGGGGGGCGAAGGCCGTTTTGGAGGGGGGGGTGCTGGGTTGCTGGTTGCTGGTTGCTGGGGGGGGCGACCTTCGAACCCGCCTTGATCAACAATAACAACAACGACAACACGAATCCGAACCGCAGAACCTCACTTCAGCTTCGCGCCCAGGAACAGTGAATGACCGTTCGGCCCCTTCACGCTGATAATTGCATATGTCTATAATCTTCAGATACACGCAGCTCGCCCTCTTCGAGACGAGCAGTCCGCCAGGCCCGACAAGCCCCCTTTCCTGCGCCCCGCCCGCGCACGACACGGAAAAGGGGAAACTGTCAAACGCACGCCATCTCGCTGCCATGCGGACATCTAAAGAAGGAGCGAAAGAGCCAGTCTAGCCCCTTACGCCGCGGCCGCGCATCGGAACAGGCTTCCAGATCCAGGTCGGAGGAGGAGCGGCCCAACAACTACAGTCGGCCCGTATCATGAGGATGCGCGATAAGGATGCAAGGGCCTTGCACGCCCACTTCGAAGTTTCTCGAACGGGGCGCGGCCAACGAAAGTGGCCAAGGATGGACCGAGGAGGCAAGGATGCAAGGGTGTCCTTGGGAAGGTTGCCCATCCCTACTATGCGGGTTGACTGTAGAGCCCCCACTGAGCCGAAGGTGGTTCTTATTTCAGCGTCTCAGGTCTGGTTGTCTGCCGCTGGGGGGAACTGTTCGCGAAGCGGGTCAGTACACAGATCAGCGACCCACCGCCTGGGGAACCGGTCGTCTTGGGCATCCCCGGAGGCGGCACATGCGGATGTGTATTGGGGGCCCCGGGGGCCTGAAGACCTCCCATGGGCGGTGAACATGTGTGAGTTCTGGCCTCGGAACCAGGTTGCCGACGACGGCGACCACGAGCAGGCCGGGAACCCAACTTACTGATCATGGCCCCGAGCGCTGCTCCCCCCAGCCACCTCCCAACCTTCGTCTAAAGCCACCCAGGCCTCCCACGCCGTGAGCGCGTTCAGCGCGAGGGCCCCAGGACCACTCGACCCCGCCTCGAAGACCGGGCTCCCACGTCGTTTCCACCGAAGGGCAGGAGGAGGGAGGGAGGGAGGGAGAGGGAGGGAGGGAGGGAGGAGGGAGGAGGGAGAAGGGAGGAGGCACCTCCCTGAGGTCGGGGACCCTGGCACCCCCTCGGCCACCGCGTGGGGAGCGCGGTACGAGACTTAGCGGGGCCAGAAACACGCCCACAGCCAGGAGGCACGCGGCGCGCACCCTAGAGCCTCCTCCGCCTACGCAGTAGGTCGGAGTGACCCCTATTTCACGCCCTTTCAACCCGGCTGGGCACAGCCGGGGGGCGCCTGCAGTGGGACCGTATTGCAGAGAAAGATCGAACCCCGCGGACCAAGACCGCACCCCCTGGGAACAACCCAGGGAATACGTGTAAGGACCACCGGGCACGGCCCTTCCTACCGCAGCGCAGCCCCACAAAGGCGACGACTTGGCGGATTTCAGTTCCCCTGGTGCCTCGACGCGCCGCCCTCGCGCCGAGGCACCCCTTTGGGGGCGGCAAGGCCACAGAGGAGGAGGGGAAGAACAAGAGAGAGAACGGGGAAAAGGCGACGACACGCTCACAGCCATCAGGCTCCCTCCCCGAGTCCCCGAGCCAACTACGCATAGAAAGAGAAACACCAACTACAGTGCACAGCGCAAGACCGACAAATATGTACTATAAGTCGGGCGGCATGGCAGTGGAGGGAGGAGGGAAGAGGACGGAAGAGGAGGAAGGAGAAGGGAGGAGGAGGAGGAGGAGGAGGAGGAGGAGGAGGAGGAGGATAGATGAAAGAGGATGACTCCTCCCTACCCGACTCCAGCTCCACATCCCTCCTCTTCCTTCCTCGTCCTCGTGGGCGAAACACATCCGTATACGCGGCCTTGCGGGCTGGGCCCCTGGGCCGCGACCCCGCGGATAAACAAATATGTATTGTTTGTTCCGCGGGTGCCCAGCGCGGAACGTATCCGTGCGACTGGGCATCCGCGGGATCGGGCCCAGAATCAAGACCGCGAGGCGTGCATATGTACACGTGCGCCACTCGTGACCTCCTCCTCCTCCTCCTCCTCCTCCTCCTCCTCCTCGTCCTCCTCCTCCTCCTCCTCCTCCTCCTCCTCCTCCTCCCCCTCCTCCTCCTCCTGCTCCTCCTCCTCCTCCTCCTCCTCGTTCCAGTTCCTCGAGGAGGGCCAGAGGGAAGGAGGCAGCGAGTCTTGGAGCGCCCCCCACCCCCCCCCGGCAGGCCGGAACTGGCACACCCGCGGCGCCAGTCCCGACAGCAGCAGCCGCTGCCCGCCGTCGGCCTCGGGCCCGAGCCTGGCGCGGCGCCAAGCTCCCGCGCGCAGGGGAGGGGGAGGTTCGAGAGGAGAAGGGAGGGTCGGGGATGGGCGAGGGTCGAGGAGGAATGGGAGGATCGAGGAGGAGGGGGGAGGATAGAGGATGAGATCGAGGATCGAGGAGACGGACGAGGAGGAGTAGGAGGAAGAGGAGGAGGAGGAGGAGGAGGAGGAGGAGGAGGAATGAATGAATGAATGAGCTCATGGAATCCTGTCAATCGAAGCCACCTCGAATTGCATTGCCTGCCAAAGGAGCTGACTGCTTAGCAAAGTTAGGATTCTGAGATGGTTCCATCCGAAACCCACCGAGAAAAGTAGCGCGGTCCTCCACCGCGCTCTGCGCCAGGCAGCACTGGCCCATGGCCCGCACTCAGGCCCGCACGCAGCAGGCTCGGCGAGGCGGGCTCTAGAGGCGTGAGGTGCCTCAAGCCTCTCTCCTCCTTCCCCGCCCACGACCCCACCCACTCCCACGACCACGACCCCGTCCCCCTCCCTCAGAAGGCTGCGGCTGGGGCAGGAAAATTACAGGTGTGTTTGGAAGTGATTCATGCGCATACGTGTGCACTCGATTCTGTAACGTGCCTAGAGCATCAGGGGCAACCACTCCCCTATCGATCAGTTCTCGAAGCCGATCCGATCGTCCAAGTGCCTCCCTCATGCGCCGTTGCCTATCAGTTTGCTGATCTCGCGCTCTAATGGCCCCTTCGGGGCCGGCCCTGGAAGATAACTCGCTCCCTCGAGGCTCAGAAGCTCCTCCATTGCCTCCCCCATGGCCTTCCCCAGCGGAGTCTCCCACGAGAAACTCATCAGAAGCGTGGCCTTCTGCGGTTCGCCCTCTGGTTTCTTCTGAAGCTTGAGGCGGAAATACGGGACGGAGCGTGACATCAAGGCGACCGAGGCTCCTTTCACGTAGTTCTGCCACAGGCTGATGAACCTCTGCTTGTTGATTTCTTCCTCCTTCATTTGCTGCTCTTCCCCGATGGCGATGGTCCGATCGGCCCCGTGCCAGGCTGCTGCCGCTGCGATCTGGATGTGTGGTGGGCCGCGGGCTTTGAAATCTACTTTTTCTCCTTTCTGCTTGCGCTGGCGGAGGCGCTGGCTCTCTTGGTCGTAAGACTTCCCCGTCATGATGAGGGCCGACGCGAGCCCGCCGCCAGCGAGAATGACGTAGCGCACGAACACCGTCGACGAGATTTCGGCCACCTCGCGGGTGACGCTCATGAGAAGCTGTGCGATGAGTGTGATGAGCTTCATCGGCGCGCCGCCGCCCTGCTTGAGCGTCTTGGCCTTGTCCTTGCCGCCGTCCTTGCCGCCCTTGCCGTCCTTGCCGTCCTGGGTGGTGTTGCCCTCCTCGCCCTCGGCCTTGCGCTTGATCCCCTTGAACCACGCAGGAGATTCGAGCACCATCCTGTCCTCGGCGCTGCCCATGGCTGCTTGTCTGAAACGAGGTTTCAATCGGCACTGGGATGTGCGAGGTGAGGTGGGTGCACAAGTCGTCCAAGCTCGAGCCTTCATAATGGCAAACAGGGCAAACCAAGGACTTCGGAACAGTAGCCACCGTCTGAAAGGTCGACGGACCTCGTGTCATACAATGGCCTCTCTCCATCGATCCCTGCAAGTGGCGGCCCGCATTTGAGGTACAGGCGAAGACTTGGCGGCAGACAATGCACAAATTCGACGGGGCAAGGACGTGCGCCAGGTTGCGGATGCCGTGCGCCCGCCTCATGTGATTCATGAGCTTACTGCGTGAAGAAAAAGCCTCCCCACAGACGCATCCATCTTCTTTCAGAATCTCGCAGGAGAAAAAGCCCTCGACCTCGGAACCGCTAGACCCTCCGAGACTCTCAGGACCACCTTCATTCAAAGCCCCCAAATGACTAGATCTTGTGTAGTTGTCACCTGGAGGCGCGATCATCGTGGAAAAACAGCGTGCTCGAATCTGAGAAACATCCAAAGCTGCGAACCCCGCCGCGATGTCCGCATCCTTAAACAAGCGTAAGTCACCAGCCAGATCCTCCAAGTCCCCATTTTCTATAATCTTCGAAGCGGAAACCAGATCATCTCTTACTTGTCGGACCCAGGGCGATGAGTACTGCGTAGGGCCCCCACCGAGGAGTTGAGGCCGATGTTTATCCAGGGGCATTTCACCAAATAGAGAGCATAAAACTTGAACATGGTTCTTATAATCACGAGCCCATCCCTGATAAAGTCGAAGGCGTCGTACGGACATTTCAATACTGCTAGGGGCCAACTTCCAAAAACTCAGAACCTGTGATGTACTCATACTCCGAATCTTGTCCTCCTCCCTCGTGCACGCCTTCCCCCTCATAGCTATCCTCCCCATCGCCGCCAGACCCCTGTCTAGTTTGTCGTAGTCGTTCTTACTAAGGATAAAAGCCTCCATGCCACTCAAGATAGTGTTCTGCGCGAAGCCGATGAGCAGAAGGCGAGTGAAGCGATGCGGGGGAGGGAGCGACCACACGCCCCCCAGACTGTGGAAGGAAACTCGCGCTGCCTGCAAACGTCGATCCACCTCGTGAGAAGCGGTGTCTCGCATGACCAAGTGCGGGCCCAAGTAGCGCACAGCATCACGAGCCGTGCCCGAGAGAGATTCCGGATGATCACGGATATATTGACGACTGGTATGACCCCCCGCAGAAAAAAAGAACATAAACTCTTGCTTCTTCATGTTTTGCCCGAAACCATATTCAAGAAGATGTGTGTTCAGCAAATCATCAGACAAACTTAGCTTCTGAAGGAATTGACCCAAGGTAGTGTTCGGGCTGGCCAGGACGAACTTATGCAAATCGTCGGCATACTTCATTAGAGAGAGGTCTGCCCTGATGTCGCCCCAGGCCGAGACAAGCTCCTTCGCACACGTATCCTCCTTTACCGAATCAAGACCCCAAGACAGGATGGGACGGGTAAACGTGTTCAAGAACATAGTGACAATGAACGGGTCCCCCATTGTACCACCCTGCCTCGGCCTAACCACCAACTCACCCGTGCTGGACGGAAGTACAATTACAGAGTTATGATAACGTTGCTTGCATAGCTCAACGTTGTGCTCGTGGCAGTGGAGGACAACCGAGGAATCCATCTCATCATGAGTAGTGCTCGCGAAAGCGTTCGATAAATCTTTAAAGCATGCGCAATGCGTACGACTCGCTGCCCTCATCCTCCACATTGTGTTCATCGAGATCATCACCGCCTCCTCCCTCCTCCTTCCCGACACAAAGCCGTGGTCCTGCACCGTGGGGGATGGACGAATCTTCTTAGCGTAGAAACCCTTCCCCACCGCCGGGAGGATGTGCACAACTCGCTTCCCGAGAGGTCCTGCTTTATGCGATTTATGAAGTGCAGCAGCTTGGCTTTTGTGCCAATAGAGGGGTGTAAGTTGATGCCGTCGTACCTTTTGCAACCCCACGGACAAGAGGAACCAAAACGTTCTATTATCAGGCGGCGATATATCTAGACCGAGACCGAACTTGCCCTGCACCCGCCACTTGGGGAAAAGAGCCATATGCCACAACTCCAGTGGCGCTGTGCCTTCAGGAACAGTCTTACGCTTCGGGGCGGAAACCATGTACTTACGGAGATCCTTTAGGTCCTGGGAGGCGGCCTCCACCGATTCAGTGTCAGCAGGGTCGTAGTCGTAACTAGGTCCCTCCCGATCGAGTCTCCATCGATCCCACTCAAGCGTCTCCACCTGCATCCCCCCTTCAGCACCTGGACGGCGCCATACATCTAACCATTCAGAAGAAGTTGGGAGAGAACTGCAAGCCAGGCGGGCATCCCTTCGCTTCGGCCCGAACCGACAGCGAGCCGCCCGCCTAGATGCTGTCATAGCCTCCGCAGTTCTACGTCTTTGCCAGCACTCTGCAGCTTCTTCTACAAGGCGGGCCCTGTGCCGACGCAGACGACGACGCTGTTCACGCTGGAGCTCCGACGAGAGCTTCTTCAACTCTGCATCAACCTCCTCGCAAAAAACCTCCGTAGCTTTCAATTTCTGCCCCCGAAGCTCGACTCGACGCCGAAGCAACTCACGACGACGCCGACACTCCATCGCACGTTCGGGTCGAATCGAGTTGTCCTTAAGGAAGTGTTGTTCACCTGCACTCACCAGAGAAGCCTCCAGAAATTCAAAAATAGTATCGGGAGGAGCATGGTCTCGTAGGTATACAATATCTGCCGCCGACGCTGATACATTCAAGTCCCTAATAAAATCCCACCTCCCCTTCCCATTCCGAAGACTCTCCATCATCACATCATGATTCCATCTTCGACGATCATCTGGAGCACGCAATTGCCCGCCTTTATTATATCGCAAGCTCAGCGACACTGGGAGGTGGTCACGAGGGGGTGCACCTTTGATCGGCTGGAACTTGGCCCCCAGCTTTCGGAGGGGGTTGCAGTGAGTCACCTGATCTAGAAGTCCCCGAGGAAGACAAACGTAATCTATGCGACTAGAGCTGTGGTTGCCGAAAAACGTCATTTCCACCCGAGAACGGGTATTTGCAGCAAACATATGATGACGCTCCAGAAGCTCCCGAAAACCTTCGCCAGCTCCCCCAGGAAGCTTTTCAACAGTAGAGGTCCCAACAGCACTACTCTCGAAGTCCTGGAAAGACCCTTTGTGCATCCGCCCCCCCAAGCCGTCGTTGATGTCCGCGTACACAAACGGAACACACCGCACAGGAAGACTCCCCAGAACCGAATCCAGCCAAGAGTTCAGAATCTTCACTGTCTGGAAGTACCCAGCACGCTTCTTGTTACGAGACTTGGAGGGGAAGGGCGGGTAGTAGAGACAGACGGCACACAGATCAGCAGGACCGTGTTTTACCCGAACAGCAAGGGCCCGTCCAGGGGCCAACTCAGGACTGCCCCAGATCTGCTTTACATCTTCTTCCCGAAAATGAGGTCCAAAGGCCACCAGGGTCCCGCAGCTGTTGTTAGAATACGGAGCCTCGCTGTAGGGAGCCTCGTACTGCAGCCGCCCGTCCGCCCACCGCCGCAGTGCCTGCGCGCCGCGGAGGGGCGTATTGGACTTCGTACCCGCCAACAGGAGCACGTCATAGTTTCTGGTCTCATCCAAGATCTCACTGAGGCGATCCCCAGTCGCCCACATGGGATTGTAGCCGAGAACTCGAAGCGAAAGCTCAGACATGAATCCCCACCAGCAGAGGACCCTCGCGAACATGGGGTGGGCGAGGAGCGATGGCAGAAACCGAAGGTGCGATGTTTCCGCCCGACAAGCCCGAGTCTGTGTCCCTTGGGCCCAGGGGCTTGGAGGAGGAGGAGGAGGAGGAGGAGGAGGGGGAGGAGGAGAGGGAGGAGGTTGAGAATCGGGGAATCGGGGGGAACCGACGAGGAGGACCGAAGAGGAGGGTCGAGGAGAATCTCCTACTCATCCAGTCTCCTCCATCCTCAGGAGGGGGAGGAGGGGGAGGAGGGGGAGGGGGGGCACAGGACGAAGAGAGGCGGAGGGTGAGGCGGGATGACGACAGGCTGGGGACGAGAAGATGAGGGGGGACCACGAGAAAAAGGAGGAGGGGGGGGAGGAAGAGGAGGTGGCAGGAGCTGCTCTCCTCCTCCTCCTCCTCCTCCTCCTCCTCCTCCTCCTCCAAATTATGTATCTTCACTTTTCTTTCTACGTGCTGCGCCTGCCTCCCGGGCCGGCGGCCCCCCCCTCCCCCCACCCTCCGGCAGACACGGCGGGCCAATCGAACCGAGACACAAGATGTCGAGGGTCTGCCGGCGACTCGGCAAGCCCCGCGGCCTGCGCACGCAGGTCTGGCGAGGGTATCGCTGGACGCCCGTCAGGGGCGCGCACGCTTGCCAGGTCCCGGGGGGCTGCGCCGACAGGGAAGGGGGGGGGGGGGGAGCGGGGAAGGAGGGGGGGGAGGAGGGGCCGAGCCCGGGGCGAAAGGAGAGAGGGCGCGGGCCAGCCAGGTGGGGATGCGCCTGATCTGATGCCATACACCTCCCTGGCCTCCCGTTGTCGTGGCGCGGGCCTCCTCTCTATTCGCACAGGCGGATGTCGAGCAGGGCACTGATCCCGAGAGGGTGCGCGATCCGTGGTAGTGCACGGTGTAGCACGGCGTAGAAGAGCACGGCTGAGCAGCGCCGGGTCGACAACACGACTCTTGTTCGGCAGCAGATTCTGAGGGAAAGCAGACATGCCGAAGGAGGGCAAAGGTAAATAGACGGTGCGGGAACAGCGGAAGCGTAACATGCGAGTCAGCGCTGGTCGGGCACATGACTCATTTAGAGAACAAGTTCTGAGAAACAACCATACATGACGCAAGACGAACATGTAAAAGGACGGTCCGGAAGAGCGGAATTGTAAAATGAGAGTCGACGCTGCATCGGGAACACGACTTGGAAGATCCGTAACAAAGAAATGAGATCAGCGCTGCAGCGGGAGTATGATGTGGGAGGACCGAGAGCCTGAACATGGAGCCAGCGCTGTAGCGGGAGCGCACTTCTGGAAATACCGAAGACGTTCAGAGTAGAAAGCGAAAACATACAATCGACCACCTTCTGAGAGATCCGTTGTCAACATCAGCACGCGGAGGGGGGCAGGCTACGACCGGGTTGTCTTCGGGGGGGGAGGGGAGAATAGTATGCAGATGGTGCCATTGTCCAGGGGGGGCTCAGGGTGGGGGGCTGGACAAGCCAGGTGCGCTCGCGCCTCATCTGACATCCGATCCCTCCCCCCCATCACCTATCATGGCGCTGATTCTCCTCTATCCGCAGACGCGTGTCATAGCCGACCTGCGACTCCCACAGCCAGACCGCTCGTGCACTGGAGGATGTGGCGGGTGGACAGGACGATGATCGGGAGAAAAAACGACGAGGACGAACAGCGACACCAGGAAGTAAAGCGGATCGGGAGAAACAGGAGGACCAGTGGACGGCGGAGGAGGGGGAACAACAATAAAGAACGACTCGGATTCAGAAAAGTGGCCCGCGCTGGGGCGAGACGAAAAGCAGCAGCGGGAACTGAAGCGGAAGGAGCGGGAGGAACAGGAGGACCAGGGGAAGGCAGATGAGGGGAAATGAAGCGGGGACCACAGTGAAGTCAGACTCGGATCCAGAAAAGTGGCCCGCGCTGGGGCGAGAGCGCCATCCTGATGACGAGGGGCAATAGTATTCATACTGTTCAACTGCGAAGGAAGGTGGGAGGCGAGAGAGGCGGAGTGGCGGGGGCGGGGGGGCGAGGGGGGGGGTCCCAGGACCCTGCGATCACAACCCCCGATGTTGTGATCGTGAGGCCCACGGGCGCCCCTGGCCGCCTCCGCCTCCTGTTCCTCCCCCTCCTCCTCCTCCTCCTCCTCCTCCTCGTCCTCCTCGTCCTCGTCCTCGTCCTCGTCCTCGTCCTCCTCCTGCGCCTCCTCCTCCTCCTCCTCCTCCTCCTCCTCCTCCTCCTCCTGACATGCTGCTGCTGCTGCTGATCCTCGTCCTCGTCCTTGTCCTCCTCCTTTTCCTCCTCCTCCTCCTCCTCCTCCTCCTCCTCCTCCTCCTCCTCCTCTTCCTTCTCCTCCTCCTCCTCTTCCTCGTCCTCCTCCTCCTGGCCTCCTCCTTGCCCTCCTCCCTCTCCCCCGAGCGCCTGGACACCTTGCACGGCGACCACGAGGCCTGCGCGGGCGTCACAGCGGCCTCGGAGCCTGGCGGGAGAGCGAGGGGAGGAGGAGGGATGCGGAAACCGGGGCCGAGCTTCGGGGGCGGGGCGAGACGGAAGGAGGAACGGAGTAAAAAGGAAGAGGAGAAGTTCGACGACGAAGAGGAGGAGGAGGAGGAGGAAAATGAGGAGGAGTTAAAGTAGCCTGAAAGGAACGAGAAGAGGGCAAGCGGGCACGACGCGAGAAAAGGGTAAATGATGCCCCTCCGCGCGAACCAGCTGCACCTAACTCATCGCCACAACAGTGCTCTGGCTGCATCGGACGTTTCAGCGAAATATGCTGGCGAAGGTGCAGTAAACGGTTTCATGTTGTAGAATAGGCTATGAGCGAACGCAGCCCTGCGAATCGACTGGCGCAACGAGAGATCGCGCTCAGGCTCGGACGGGCACGCTGCTGCGGGGCCCAGGCCCCCTGATGTAATTTGGCTGAGGGGCGGGGGAAAGTCGAGGGATCAGAGGAGGCTCGAAAGGACGGAGCAGGAGAGGTAATGGGGAAACGAATCTGGTGCATTTGGGCACCCGAACGCGTGTGGCTTCGGGGCGAACACGAGCATGCGATGGGTGGTGGTCCACCCGCCGCTGAACATTTTGATGACCGTCCAGCGCCGGCTGGGTCGGACCTATGTGATGGCTTTCGAAAGATCGGACCAGCGACTGGTGAGCTCAGGAAGCGGTGGTGGCTGCTGCGTGCCCCGCGATACGCGGCGCTACAGAAGAGAGACAGAGCGTGGCGAGGAAAATGAGGCACGCAAGAGCGCACGCGCGGCCGCACGCTACAACATCGGGCAGCAAGGCGGCACGGCGGCAGCGGACTCACGAATTACCTGTGCGGCAGCGCGGTTCACGGCGTCCACGGCCGTAGCAGGAAACGGGGCGACACACTGACCGCGCAACAATGCGTGATTGAACAGCACGATGGACACGGGCACTTCCCAGAAGGAGGGGGGCCTGGTGCCCGCGACCCGCCTGTGGTGGGAGTGCCCCGCGCTTTCCTCCCGCGCAACGTCTTGAAGGCGGGCGTGGGAGGTTGCCCATTCGCCGCACAGCGTGCAAGAAGCCGAGCGAATTGCCGTGGCGGGGGCAGAGACTTGGGCAGAACGAAGGACAGGCGGCGGACCCCACTTCGCAATGGCAATTCGGTCTACTTTGCAAACAGAGTTCGTCGGCAAGCTGAGCATCAGGTGACAACTAAAATGCTCCTGGCGAGCAATATCTGGTCCCAGCAGAAAGGACTCAGCGACGTAACTGAACGTGGACAGGACAGAAGCGTTGTAAAAAAGCGCACTGCTGCATCGCTGCCACTCTGAACTAAAGTGAAGAGGTTGCCTCGTTGCCGCTGCTTTTGCCCCGGGGCGAGCCAATGCGACGCCGGGGGGGCGGCGGCCCAGGGAAGGGCCCGAGGGTATTTGGCTCGCCCAGGCAGCGAAAAGCCCCCCCAGGCGGGGCCAAGAGCAACCAGGAGGGCTTTCGTTTGGGCTGATGTGGCAAGAGTAAAAGACGCCCAGAGCGGGACAACCACACATTTGCGACGCTTGAGAGATTGGCGCGTGCTCCTTAGCAGCGGCGAATGGCTCAGAAGCGCTGCGCAGCGTGCAGAACGAGAACGCGAGCAGGCCCGCGCTGTCAGCGCAACTTCCCAAGTAGCCCTTGTCGAGCACGGGCGCGCCGTCGCAATCTCGATGGAAGAAGCGAAGGGGCAAACGAGCGGATGCCGCGCGCTGGCCCAATCCGACCCACTGGCAGAATAACCTTGCGCCACGCCAGACTCGAAAGCGAACGTGAAGTGGCGCGCTCCCTCAACCTTGACGCAGCCGTTCGGGGCGAAGTACAGGTCTCGGGAGAGGCTGGGGAGACCGACTGGGGGCCCGAAGCGCTCGGCAACGATGCGCGCGATGCAATTGCTGAGGTTGCGACCAACAACGAAGCCTTGCTGCGCCGGGTGAGTCCGCTCTGCCGCGGCGGCTTTGATGCGGAAGCTGGCAGTCCCAACGATAGCCTTGAAGTATGTGTTCTTCGGGGTGAGAGGGCGCGTGTCCTCTGGCGCTCTGTCCGTCGATGGCTCGCCAGCGGGGCGGTTGTCCTTCGGGGGGAACACAAAGTCGGAGTCATTGAGGACGCGGAGGAAGACACTGTTGGAGCAGAGGTGGACTGGGAGATCCCCCGGCAGGTCCAGGGGCGATTCGCGAGCAAGCCGATCACGGAATGGCGGCCAGTCGGGGCCAGGAGCTGAAGGTGAGGTGCGAGACAGGAAGGCGTGGAGCTGGTTCGTCGTCGGCTCACCGATGTCAGAGGTGGGGCCCCGCGGCATGAACCCGTCGATGTACTTCTTGACTTTCGATTCGCCGACGCACTTGCGCGTGGAGACAGGCTGCCAGTGCCCACGAAGGGCAGTGAACATTGAGCAGCTCTCTCTGGCAACCCGAGGAGGGTCCAGAGGGCCAGTGGTTTGGATTCCCTGGAGGGCCAGGCGGCGCTTCCATGGGGCCGCAAGAGAGCCCTGCGTTGCGAGGAACGGAGGAGCCGATGGAATTTCTCTGGCCCGAAAGCCCCTGGCGCGACCAGTTGAAGCTGGGCGGCTCGCTGAGCCAGAGAGCGCTGCCATTCCTCGTAGTCGCAGCGCAGCGCGGTAGACGTGCGGGCAAACTCGGGCGCGCTCGCGGGCATGATGAGGCCGCCTGAGAGCGAGAGGTACTTGGCGCCGAACTCGGCGGTGGAATCGATCTCGGGCATAGCGTGCGACGGCAGGGTGCTGAAAATGCGGCCGATGGCGGACGCAGAGAAGTCGGACTTGTAGAGGCGGGGCGGGAGGTCGGACTCGACAGCAAACATCGAGTCGCAGGGGCCCTTCCAGAAAGGCTGCTGCTGGCGCGCGTTATAATCGAGAGCGGGACGAACGCGCAATGGTAGCGGCTGTAGAGAGCTGAACGGCGGGCGGCTAGCAAGGTTGGCGTCGTCTATGGCGAGGAACGGCGCGGGTCGTCGGTCTCTGCCCGCACGCGGCGCTGGTGCCGTGCGCGATGAACGCGGTAGCGACCTCGGGCATCAATATCAAGGTAAAGAGCGCCCATGATGACGACTAAGTTGCGAATGACCGCGTTGGTAGTGGTGACGGTCTGGACGCTGCCCTTGACGATCTCGTCGTGGCTGAAGAACGGGAGCTGGGACGGCTGGAACTGCTCGAACTGCGCGCGCGTGGGCCATGGGGTTAGCGACGCGACGCCGCCTGAGGCAGGGCGTGCATCGCCAACACCGCGGGCCACGAACTCGGAGAGGAAGAGCTTGTACGGGCATGGCTGCGCGTCGACCCAGGAGCGGAGCAGGGCCTCCGAGCCTACGACCAGGGGAAATTAAACCCGCCACGAGGCAGTCGTTGCGTTCGCGAAGATGGCCTGGAACAAGGTGAGGATGCTGCCTCGGTCGAGGTCGCTGAAGATGTCGTGCTCGAGCGCGTTCTCGTTCCACTCGAGGAGGTCCGGGTCGCCCTGGCCCTTGGCCTCGAGGCGGACGGTGGGCTTTGCGCTGCTGTGGATCTCACCATTGGAGCGGATGGCCCTCCAGGGCACGTTGGGGTAGCGCTGATGGGGAAGCTAGTGGAGCTTCTTACATTGAATCTCGGTGCGGAACTGCTTCGGTGACATGTCAGGGTTGAGGTAGATGCCACTTGCCCGCTGGGTCGCGTAAGGCGCGAACGAGAGCGAGGGCGCGAGGAATGGCGATGGCGTTGCCAACATTGACCTGTAGGATGAAGCGCCGGGCGGGCTCGTCGCCGTGTAATTCGATAGCATCGCGCGGTAAGTTGGCCGATGCGATCCTCTCCTGGAGGTCGTTGGGCAGGACGTTGGGAGCGATGAGGCGCTGGCGGCCGATGGTGAAAAGGGTCGCGTCGGGGGCGCGGCCCCACTCGGAGATGGCGAGGTCAGCGATGGGGACCTGCGCCTCCGCAAGCGCAAGGGTGTCGCGCATCTGGTCGAGCTGCTGCCACATGCGCTGCTGCTCGGCTGCCTGGCGATCGCGCTCTCGGCGCGAGCGTGCGACGACGTCGTGGAGAGTGTCGACGCGGCCCTCTGTAGCGATAACTTGCTGTGCCAGGGGCTGGCGGAAGCTCTCTCAGGACTCGTTGCGGGGTGTGTTGGCCTGGGCTTGGAAGGCACTGGCGGCTGGTGCGACTTGGTCGCGCGTGGGCTGTTGGAGAGCGGCGTCGAGAGCTGGATCGATGGCTGGGAAACGAACTTCAGGAGGGCCCGGAGGTGCGGGGTGAACGATTTCTGCTTCGTGAGCATCGCGGAGGGAACCAGGGCCAGAGGCGGCGGCACCACTGGGGGTAGGTCCGCCTGCAGTAGCATGACCACGCCGCGGAAGACGTTGACTGTCTGGAGGCCCATGTCGAACTGGTTGAGCAAAACCCCGAGGTGGCTCCTGCGAAGGGAACGTGGAGAAGTTTCCCAAGTCGGCCGCGAGCTTGCCCGTGTCGAGGCCATGGAACTTGTCGAAAGCGGCTGCATGCTGCCATGGGTCTTGTCCATGGAGAGGGTCTTGGGATCCGTTGCCAGACGGACCTGCGGATGCTGGTCCCGCAGCGTCGCGAGCAGAGCGATCGGGGCGGGGCGCCGCTGTGCCACATGAGCGACCAGCTGGAGCAAGGTCAGCACGGCGGGCTGGAGGTCCCCGAGCAACATCAGCGCGATGTCGATGACGGGGGGCGGTCTGGTCACGATCGCGATGGTCGGCTTGGTCACTGAATCCCTTTTGGTGACGACGACGTGAGGCTTGCGAAGCTGGGAGACTGCGACATGCCGAGCGAGCTTATGAGCTTGAGCTGCGCGGTGACGCCGCCATGATGCTAAATGACTGGGCACCACGTGGAGAGCTTGAGTGTCCCACAGGGCGCCACGAACAAGGTCCGGTGCGCTGCCAGAGCGTGCTTGAGGAGCGGCAGCGTGCGGCACAGGGGTGGTGATGTCGGTCGGCTGGCTGCTCTGGGCGAGGAACGGCGGCGCGAACTGGAGGCTCGGAGCAGCGCTCGACGAGGCGGTATGGAGGCTCGGAGCGAGGCTCGACGAGACGATATGGATGCGTGGCGCTAGGCACGAGGCCATATGGATGTTGGGCACGAGACACGAAGCGAGATGGAGGGCGGCCTGCAACGCCAGAACAAAGAGCAGGAATGGACGGCAGCTCGTCCCTGGATGTGGCTGCATAGCTTTTGGAACCAGCCGCGGACTAGCGGTATCCACGCTGCGCTCGCGATGGCGTGCCATCTTGAGCCCAAACGGCTACGGAAGGAGGAGGAGGAAGAACAGGAGGAGAACGGGAATGAGGACGAAGAAGGATGGGGACCCAGAGGAGGAATCATAAGTCAACTCGACTGAAAGCTCATCGTGAGCCTGTAAAGAAAACAAGCGCCCCTCACTCCTGATAGTATGCAAAAAGACCTCCCTCCAGGATGGCCTTGCATACGCAAGGACGGAGTCGTGCAGCCTCGAGCCGAGCCTGGATCTACCCCCAAAAAATCAAGAGTTTTCTGCTGACGATTTGTCGCTGGCCACGCTGGTCCGTGTAGAGAGGAGGGGAAAGAGTGCAATCCCCTCCTCCTCCTCCGCCTCCTCCTCCTCCTCATCTTCTCTGCCGCCCCTACTCATTCTCCTGCTCCATCTCCTGCTCCTCACCCCAGCCCCGTTCCACTCCTCGTTCTCTGCTTCCCACGACGGCGACGACGCCGGCGGCGACGACATCGACGACACCGCCTTGCCCAGCCACGAGCGACGACCGTCTTCTATCTGATGGCCTCCCCAGCAAAGGTCCCTCGGGTCCTGGACTCTTGGGGGCAAGGCCCCTGCTTGGATGCATCACGACAGTCAGTGACGATGGCGTTCGCACCGCACGCTTCCTCGAGGACTGGAGGACGGGGAGCAGGACGGCGGCGGCCTGGACCCGAGCCACTCCGCGGAAGAGGCACGCGCAGCCTGCACGCATCAGAAGGCATCGCCCACTCCGAACGCTGCAGGAAGCGCGGAGGATGGGGGACACCCCTTACGCCGACAGCCCGAGAAAGTCACCCCTGCGAGGCGGGGATTACCACGTGCCCACCGCCTGGGGAAGCGAAGTCCTGGGTCATGGGGGGGAGATCTGGACATACATAATTGGAGCCCAGGGGGCCCGAGCAAATCCACATCTACCGCCACCGCCTGCCGCGGTCCCCGAAGATCGACGTAACACCCCTTGGCAACCCCATTGCGGACCACCACCGCGCGCCCGAGGCGCTCCAGCCGCTGGCGCGGCACGCCAGCGTGGCGGTGTCGGCCCGCTGTCGGGGAGTGACGCTTCCACGCCTACTACGGAACGCAGCGTGGGCCACCGAGACACTTCGCGCTGCGCGCAGAGCGATGGTCGGCGCGCCCTCGCGAGCCCCCCCCTCTGAGAAGGGTGGTGCTCCAGCCACGACCGCCTGACCACGAAGCGGGACCGCCTTGAGACCGCTGCGTGCGGCCCAGATCACAGGTGAGCGACGAGCAAAAACGAGTCTTACGCGAGATGGCATAGAGGCCTTACGCGCTGGCTTACGCGGACCGCCCGCGCGGCACGCTACGCTGGACGCGAGAGCGCTTACGCGCGACCTTACGCGAGGAGCTCACGCGCCGATGTCGGTGACGACGACCCCGCTTTATTCCGTCGCTCGGGTGGATCGTGGAGCCGTCCTGGCCGGCGGGGGGATCCTCGGCCCCCACTGCGTCCCTCACCAGGCGACCCGGGCAGGCCGGCTTTCCCCCAAGCTCGGCGGCGGCGGCGGCGACCAAGCGCGGAGCCTTCTGCGCCGGCCGCGAAGACCTGGCCCTCCCGCATCTCCACGCCTCGGCGGGGAGGCGGCCGTGCCAGACTTCTCGCCCCAGGGGTGTGAACGGTCCAGTGGGAGGCTGGGCAACGCCTCACGCGCTTGGCCACGGGGCGCTGACATCGGGCCCTTCCAGCAACCCACGAAGGATGCTTGGAAGGAAAAGATCTGTGCAGACTTCCAGAGGGGGGGGGGCGCAGGTGCGAGAAGGCGAAGGCCCGAAAACCCCCGAAGCACATGCCCTTCGACGTCGGCCACCGGACCTGCACCTCAGAGCCCTCCTGGGGATGGAACCTCACGAGGGGCCTTCCTCCCACACGTCCAAAGAATGAAACTGATCCTTTGTGATCTAGCCAATCAACACCCGTCCTCGGGTGGCAGCAGCAGGCCCCCGAGAGACCCCACAGAGGCCGCCAAGAGACCCCCAAGAGGGCACCCATTTAGGTCCCGAAGTTTCGGTGGCCGGTCGCAATTTTCCTAGACGCCAGGGCCTGACAGACGGGTCCGAAAAGAAGGGCAGACCGTCATAGGCAACAAGCATCCGCACATGTTCACCACCACCATGCCTGACTGGGGATCTCCTGGGCCCTGGCATGGTGTTTGCGCCATCCTGGCCGAGGCCAGGAGGGACTAGTCATACACCATCCTGCTGCCCAGGAGCCCGGGCCAGGCACGGTGGTGGTGTATGTCTCGATGCCTCCTGCGGACATCACCGAGAGGCCTCCTAGATGGGACCGGAGTAGATGGGGTCGGAGGATCGCGCCGCATCGCCGATACATCGGCGATGCATCGGCGATGCATCAGCGATGCACTGGCGATGCATCGTCGACGCCGACGATGCATCAACAACGTCGACGTGAAGCACATCGGGCTCCACATCGAGCCGCATCGGCGATGCATCGGCGATGCGGCGCGCTCCTCCGACCCCATCTACTCCGACCCCATCTAGGAAGCCTAGATCACCCCGACGCTGGGCTGGGCTGCAGCTGGGCCGGGCGGCGTCGCTCGTTTGGGACACCCTCCGCGCCGATCTCGCGGGCCGAGACGCCGTGCACAGAGATCACGGCGCAGCGGTCGCCGGCCTGCGGCGCGTCGCCGTCGCCGTTGTCGTCGCCGCGGCCGTGGTGCTCGTTTCCAAAGCCTCTGTGCGGTTCTGGGGGCCTCTCGTTTTGACACGGCTGGACGCGGCTCGAGAACCTGGCCAGGGTGGTCTCTGGGAGGGGTCCAGTTTGGCGGCAACTCATGGGAGCCTCCCATACCATCTTGTCGGCTCTTGCGAATCGGTGCGAATCGACGCTAGTCGACGCTAATCGACGCTAAATCGACGCTAACCGACGCTAGTCGATGCTAAATCGGCGCTATGTCATCGACTCGCAGACGCTGGTCGACGCCAAAGATGAAAGTACCAGGGTATACCGAGCTCCCATGATTTGCTACCGAAGTCCAGGGACCGATTTTGAGTGGATTTTGGTCAGACGTTGTCGCCGTCGTTGTGGCCGTCGCCGTTCTCGCCGCCGCCACCGTCGCCGCCCTGCGGCCGCTAGAGGAGGAGCCGGGGGCGACTGCAGGCCAGCTCCGGCCGCTGGAAAGCATCCTGGGAGAGAGCTGGCCCTGACGGCAGAGCACTCAGCGGGAGTGATACCCAGACATCCTTAGATATCATGTCTTCGATCCGCGGAGCTCCCGAACCAATTCTCCATGGCTATAGTTTCCCGCTTTGGATCCACGTTTGAGATGGCCTCAGGAGCCTGGAATAGCGGCCGCACGAGGGAGCGGAAGGGAAGGCACATCGCTTCGATCTTAGAGGAAAACATGCCGTCGGAAGCCCAGGCGCAGCAAGGCATCCCTGGAGAAGACACCCGGCAGCCCAGACGAGATCAGATCCCGGGGTGGCGGATCTCCCCAGGTCGCCGCAGCTCGCGCTCCGCTTCCGCCGCGGCCATGGCGAAGAGGCGAGAACCGGACGGCTCTCTGGCCCAGAGATCCTCTTGCGCGGGTCGCGATCCTCTTCGCGCTCCTGCGAGCGACCTGGAGCTCGGCCCGGTGTTCAAAGATCGGGTTGGGCATCCGGGGAGGGGAGTCCACCTCCGAGCCGGCGGGCTTCGCAGGGTCGTGGTCATCCACGGCCCACTCCCCACGACAGCTCCCGAGCTTCGTCCCAGGACAAGGAAAGGAACACCTCATAGAGCAGACGACGTTGGCAGAATCATCTGAGGCAGGAAGGAACGACAACGACACCGACGAGACCGGCACCGGTCCCACCCACGGGCGGCCGAAGCGTGGCTGGCGGGCCTGATGCCGCGGAAAATGGAATGCGGAGCGCGGGGACCTGGGGTCAGGGGGCGACAGCACTAATTGGCGGCGAGCGAGGGGGGGAAGTGAGAAGGAGAAGGCCTTCTCAGAAGGCTCGGAAGTCCCCCGGCATTCTGAGAATTGAGCCTTCACCGAAGACACAAAAAAACGTCTGAGAAGGCGCGAGGGCCTCTGAGAAGTCCTGCCGCCTTCCTCACTTCCCCCCCTCGCTCGCCGCCGAACTAAGGTTCCACATCCCCGAAAGGACCTCCTTGCCTTTCACCGCATGTGATTCCCAAGAGCATCATTGGAGCTGGCCTTTTTCCCAGTACCGGAGCTCGGGGGCTACTAGGACACGCGCAACCATCGTCAAATAATCAAGGGAGTGTCATCGGTGGAGCGGTGTCGGTGTTGTTATCTGCCCTGTTTGATTCACCACCCAATCTTCAATTCGGGGATGGATCATAGATCACAGACACGCTCAACACGGAGAGGTCCTGGCACTGGGGTCTGCGACCGTCCTCCATCCTGCGCGTTCCCCATCCCTTGGGTATGTCTGTAGAGGGACTTGGCCGCAGGCGCCCGCTTGCCCATGCGCGCGATTTAACTGCCCTGGCAGCCTCCGCCGCGGCCGCGAAGGGGCCTATGAAGGGCTCGATGCAGGGCCTTGGCGCCGAGGTGGGGGGAGAAGAAGAAGGATAGACGAATGATAATACAAATAGTAACAATAATACGAACAATGGTAAGAAGAAGTGGAAGAAGAAGACGAAGAAGAAACAGGGTTAGAGGGATGGGGCCCACATCACCTCAGCTGTAATGCCAAGATGAGGGTCTGAGGTTAGGAACGGCTAGGCTGAACAGGCGATGGGCATGGAAGCTTGGCCCAGCTTTTTGAATAAAATAGCTCCTTGCTTCGATGGCTAAGGGGGGCCCAAAATGGAAAGCGCGTGCAGAATGGTGTTCGATTCCTAGAAGCCCTCAGGATGCATGTGTGGCAGTTCTAGCTCGATGTGGGGAGCGCTCCTGAGCTGAAAGTTCAACTGTCTTTAAGTACAAGGTAGGACGAACATAGCACTAAATCGAAAACGAATGCTCTTTCAGCGGGAAATCCATTCACGGACTGGGATAGCACGCCACCCGTGTGGGGTAAGCTGTATCGCTCTCCAAGAACAGCGGCGCCAGACTGGAAAGTGCACCACCTATGCTTGCACGAACCAGGGGAGATTCTACTGTGATAGATAGATGGCTCACGTGTTGGCTTGACGATCGATGCATAACCCAGGGCCACGCAGTACCACCGAGGAGGCAACGCCAACTTCAGGCATGGCATTGCCAACTAAATTCCTTCGAGCGGGGGCTGCCCGGTGAAGCCTTACATGTTGCAGAGGGGCGTCGCGTGTGACCTTCAGGCCGCAAATTTAGGTTTCGGCAGGCACGGGCTCAGGCGCAAGCTTGTGCGTCGCCTTGCACATCAGCCCAGTGTCATTGCAAGAATTGGCAGCGCGCTTACACGCCAATCAGACTCAGCTGTCTGTCGACTTTGAATCGACCTGGATATTGGCATAGACTCGGATTTCGATTATAGCTCTGACTCAGAACTGCAATTGAAATTAAACGCAGACTGAAACTTCACCTTGGGATTGTACGGGGGTCGGAACTTCGACTTGGACTCCGACTATGATTCAGAGGACTGTGATCTCGACTTGAACTGAGCCTCAAACGAAAATAACTATATTTGAGGACGTAAACTCAGAGCTACACTTAGGCGTAATGTTACAAACCGACTGTGGCTGTATTAACCCAGTTCTGCGCTGCCGTCTTAGCCAGCTTGGCCTACTCGACCTCATACCAGCGTGCGTTTGCTCAACGTCGCTTTCATCGAAGTATCTTACGTGTTCGGCCTCGCAACGCCAATTGGCCTCTCCGAGTACGAGCTGCTTGGATGCAGATGCCTGGCTCAACCTACCCTCGGACCTCTTAGCCAAAATCTAGGCTGTACTAGTCCTGCTTAGCAACTTAGTTTAGTCAGGCAGCCTCATGTGAACCGTGCCTCTGCAGGCCAGATTCTTGAAACACGGACAGGGGTGGGTCGAAGTTTGAAGAATGCTCGCAGCCAGATGAGCCCCAGCGAAAGTGTCTGATGCACAGGATTCGACTAGACTCGATCTCACCCCGTACCTTCAAGTTGACAAGGCCAAGGCGATGATAATCTCAAGGATGTGCCCACTGTTAGGTGCATCTGAAGCTACCTCCGAAAAAACAATTGGGCATAACAGAACATGGGTAAACCAACGAGTCGGGCCGAATACCTTCAGCGGGCAAACGACTTGGTACATTAGTTCTGGACGTAGTGTACGTCTTGCGCAAATTCATCTGCCACCGAATCATCAAGTCCCTTACGTTCACACATAGACAACTGAATCATAAATGCACCGGTGCCGTCGCCAATACTACTGCATTGCGGGTGTGCCTCCTTAACAAGTCCAGCTGGCGTGGAGCAGATAGAGTTAACCGAAAGAAGAAGAAGCGCTTGCTCAGCAATTCCTGAGACTAGCCTAGCTTGCCTTGGTTTGGCTTGGCCTGGTTTGGCTGAGTTTCCACCGTGGCTTCGCTTAGAGCTCGCTTACTCATTCCATCCAGGCGTGTTTGCCTCGTTAATGTTTTGCTCACGGGATTTGCATTGATGTTTCGCAGACGCCTCACATTCACGTTAAGCGGTGTCTTTGCGAGATGTTCGATCAAACATTGAAACTGGTTGTTCGATTTGGCAATATCCCCCAGACTGTGGTTGCTCTCAGGTGCTCCGTCTTCGGGTGGACTGGGCACGATGTCCCGAGGATCTCCGGGTGCCGTAGGTTGGCGCCATTGGTTGCGCCGATGGGTTGAACCTTACGACCAGGGACCTCTGGGTGCCACAAGTTGTGCCCATGGGAACTGGCTGTGAACCCATGGATTGCGTTTGCTGACGGCGTGCGCCAAGGGGTAGGGGGAGGGGGAAGGTTTCTTAGAAGCAGGAGTGTTTCTACGAAGCCTACCGCCCTCCTCCTGCCCCCTCTGCGCGTGGCTGAATTTGATTCCGCCAAGATTCTCGGGTGCGAGAACGTCCATCCATGGCTTGCGACACAAATTGCACTCATGGGTTGCGCTTGGTGCCTGAGAGATTCCTGGATGCCATAGCGCAGAAGAGGCACAGACAGCGTACCTATACTCATACATTCCAACAACGGTGCCTGCACGTATTAACTTCGTCTCTCGGGAACTTGATAGGAGGCTCCAAAAGCGGTTCGTGGCAATACGCCGCGCCCATGGCTTCCGCATGAGGCATCAGAAGATGGTCGTGGACAGTGGTTGCGTCCATGGCTTGCGCAGGGGGGCGCCAGATATTGTCGTGGCTCATCATTGCGCCCATCGGTTTCGCAATGGGTTCCGCGCAGAGGTAGCGCAACGGATTGCGCATGAAGTCCGAGAAAGACTTGGGGGCCATAGATTGCGCCCATGGGTTTAGCCATGTGTCGTTCCCATATAGTCTTAAATGCATTGCATCCATACGCTCAGACATTGCCCTGGGTTGTGTCACCTTGCGCTGTGTGTCAGATGTTATTTACGTTCCTGCGCGTTGCACTGCACTGCTTCGCATTGCGTTGCATTGATTTGCACTGCTTTGTGCTGCACGGCATAAGTTGCACGAATTCGCTGTGTGAGGTCCACGCTGGAAAACGATGTTACCTTTTCAACGTCCTCTGAACAGCTGTGTCTCGCGCTTTTGCACGTCAAGCACGTGGCCATTGCATGGAGGATGGTGCAGCGGGCGCCCAACGGACTGCTCATCGCCAACTCGGCCAGTCCCCCCAGAACATGGGAGAACATTGTGGGCCTCAAGGCCGCGCAAATACAACTCGGCAGGGAAGGGGCCAGGAGTTTGGACAGTGAGCAGGTCGAGGGAATAGAGAGGAGAGCGGGGTGTCGATTGTCCAGGCGAAGGGCGCGGTGCGAAGCCAGCTCACCGTCACTGCATGAGCACCTCAAGGCCAACCACGAACGTCGACGAGACGGCGTCCCTCGCTTCTGAGAAATCCCATTCTTCGACATCCTTTGGCAGCGTACAGACTGCGCTCGCCGAGAAGTCGTGCTCGACGGGGCCCCTCGGAGTCTGTCTGTTGGCCCCTGCTCCAACGTATATCCGGAACTGCAGAGGCGTGGTGAGCTGCGTCAGGTCCGCCTCGCACTTGACCGTGACGGTGCCCTTCCCCCTGGATTTCTTGAACGAGGCGCCGCCCTTCTGGTCGTTGACCTGCTTCGGATATCCGCGACACCGCGTCTGCAACGGTTGGCGTGTCAGGCTCCTGCTCTGCTTCCTGCGGAGCAGTCGTTCGGCCCCCGACACATCGAGTCCGGTTGCTGCGCACGGTGCCCGCCACGCAGAAACGTGCTCCCCAAATCCGAAGTCCGCGTACGACCTCCCGCGCCGCGGCACCTACCCCCAGCCCCGCCCCCCCCAACTCGCCAGGGCGTCCGCCCGAGCGCGGTGGCGGATCCGCGCGGCAGCGCAGCGGGATATCATCATCCTGAACGGGAGCGTCCTGCCCCCGCAGGTCAGCTCGAAGGGCGGCGATACCGCCGACTTGTCGTTGCCGCGGAGCTTGCGGGCGTCCACCGTCCACTCTATGCGCGCAGCCCTGGTGGAGACGCTGGTGCTCCTCTGCAGCGTCTGAGGCATCGGGGGCCCGCCTCGCAAGTGGGCTCCGCAAGAGGCAGCAAGGCACCACCGTCGCCGGCCAGGGCCATCCTCCTCCTCCTCCTCCTCCTCCTCCTCTTCTTCTTCTTCCTCCTCCTCATCATCATCCTCCTCCTCCTCCTCCCTCCCTCCTCCTCCTCCTCTCCTCCTCCTCCTCCTCCTCCTCCCTCCTCCTCCTCCTCCTCCTCCTCCTCCTCCTCCTCCTCCTCCTCCCCCTCCTCCCCCTCCTCCTCATCCTGCTCCCCTTTCCTCCTCCTCCTCCTCCTCCTCCTCCTCCTCCTCCTCCTCCTCTGCCTCCCCCTTCTCCCTCCCTCCTCTGGTTTCGCCTTCGCCATGCGTCCCCTCGCCCTGGAGTCCCCTGGAGGCCAGAATGCCGCACAGACCTCCTGGTCGAGCCCAGGAGGGTGCATACAGTCGAGCCGCCGACAAAAAGCGCAGAAGGAACGAAGCTTCGTGATTCGAGTATGGGATCGACTACAGAATTGATGTGCCCCAACATTGACTTCCCCGCCGAATCTACGAACAAATGCGCATCATGTCCCGTAGATCTACGAACATGCGTGTTTCTTGCATATTCGGCGGGAGAATCAATTTTGGAGTGCAGCAATTCTGTAGTTGATCCCCTACTTCGAGTTCTGGCCCCCAGAGCGCCTAGGCACTCACACGAGGAGCCCAGGAGGAGCCCAGGAGGAGCAACCCTGGCAAAACAGAAGGAGCAGCGGGCCCCTTCTGGACTCGAGCTGCTGCTCATACATCGGCGTCTCCGGTGTCTGGGCCCTGGCCGGCGCGGTGTACAGTGGAGGCCCAATTACAAGAAACCTTCCGCAAGGAACCCGACCCTGAGACCCCAGGACGTCCATCGATGTGTGGCGTGGGAGCGTCACGCTCTCCATGGCAGAACCATCGAAACCCGAGAAGCCCAGGGCACCCTGGAGGCAAGCAGGCTGTCTCTTAGCATGGGCCCCCGCTGTATGGCTGCCGTCTACGGACGAGCCCGGCGGTCCTCCTTCCCCCGGCGGCGCCAGCGGCAGCTCTGCTCCGCTCAGCGCGTCCTGCGCGACGCCCTGCTGCTCGGAGGGGCTCGCCGCGGCGTGCGCGGGCTGCACGAGGACCGCCGCTGGGGCGGCATACACCGGCACCATCTGCACCACCCGACTTGGCGCCCCTCCCTGGCCCTGGCGGGCCCCCCTGCAGTCCCACTGCCAGTGCTCTGGCGGCTCGTCGAAGACCCTGTAGCCGGTCTTTAGCCTCTCGAGCTCTGCCGGGGCGGGAGGCGGGGGAGCGGGGCCGTCCGAGTCGTCGGCGTCGTCGGCATCGTCGGCGTCGTCGGGGTCCTTCTCGCTGGCCACCGCGTCGGGGTCGTCGTAGTAGAGCGAGATGCTGGTCACGGGCACCGGGGCAAAGTGGGGCGGTGCCGTCTGTGACCGCATCAGCTGGCCAGGATCCGGCGGCCCCGGGGCGGGCTCCAGAAAGGTCTTGTTCACAACGCACGCGTCGTACCCCGGCAGGCCCTCCATGCTGCCCAAGCAGATCCTCTGCCGCCGAGGGCGACGGCAAATAATGAGGCGAGCTTGAGCCAAGATGGCCACCGAAGATTCGAAGCCTAGCGTCAACTGCTCGGCCCCAGCTGGACTTGCCGAGCTCTGCTTCGCGCCCTTTGCTCGACGGGGCATCTCTCATGTGCAGACAGGCGTTGCTAGGCATCTCTGGGGTCGTTGAACGACGCACCATAATGCAAGCCAATAGCTGCCCCGATACACGCAACACGCTGCATGTTGACACGGGCTCAACACGTAGACTGAACACGTAGGTCTGGCGCGGTACGTTCGCAAAAACGAAGACCAGCACGTGTCGAGCCAGCACGCAGCATGTTGACACGGACGCATTGAACACGCCACATGTTGCGTTTCAAAGCAGGCGTATCTGGGCAGCTAAGTTAGAGGCCTCCTAGATGGGGTCGTAGTAGATGGGGTCAGAGGATCGCGCCGCATCGCCGATGCATCGGGGATACGCCAGCGACGCATCGTGGACGTCGGCGATGCATCGGCGACGTCGACGTGAAGCAAAGCGGTCTCCGCATCGAGCCGCATCGGCGATGCGGCGCGATTCTCAGACTCCATGTACTCCGACTCCATCTAGGAGGCCTAGATAAGTTCAAGCCTAGGCCACCTGACTTCGAGCTCTGTGCCAAGAGAGCCCCCGCGCCGATCTCTGAAGAACAGCAGCTCTTGGGCCCAGACTGCGAATCGCGGACGCGCGCCCTGCGGCGAGCCCGGATCACCAGAGGCATCCTGAGTGGGGTCCTGGAGGATCGCGCCGCATCGCCGACACATCGGCAAAGCATCGGCGATGCATCGGCGATGCATCGGAGATGCATCAGCGACGTCGGCGCGGAACAAAAACGGGATCCGCATCGAGCCGCATCGGCGATGCATCGGCGGTGCGGCGCGATCCTCCGACCCCATCTGCTCCGACCCCATCTAGGAGGCCTAGACACGCGCGCCCTGCGGCGAGCTAGGATCACGACCTTTGTCCCCTGGACCTCGCAGCCGGCCGCCAACCCCGCCTCCCGCGCGGAGCTCGCGTTAGGTCGGGCATGTCCTCCTACAGGCGGATGTTGGACGAAACATGAAAAATAAACAAAACATTAAAAATCGGAGGTTGGGGGCTGAGATCGAAGTGGAACGGAGAGCCCCCCACCGGGAAATGGGTTTCGGTTTCGTGTTCGTGCGTGCCGTGCGTGCGGGCGAGGCGGAGCTGCGTGGGCGGGCGAGGGGAAAATCTCCTGAGGCTGAGGCGCGGCTGGACCAAATGATTCCCCCCCGGCAAACGGGGCCGCGCGGTGTCCCGCTGGTGTCCCGCCGGTGTCCCGCTGGTGTCCCGCTGGTGTCCCGGTAAATCTCCTGTGGCTGAGGCGCGGCCGGACCAAATGTTTCCCGACCGGCAAACGGGGCCGCGCGGTGTCCCGCCGGTGTCCCACCGGTGTCCCGCTGGTGTCCCGGTGTCCCGCGGGTGCGAAAACGATAGTCAGACCGATAGTAAGATCGATTGTGAGATCGATTGTGAAATCGATAGCGAGATCGATCGTGAGATCAATCAAGTGAGATCGATGGTGAGATCGATTGTGGGATCGATAGTGAGAGCGATAGTGGAATCGATTGTGAGATCGATTGAGTACGATCGATCGTGAGATCGATCAAGTGAGATCGATAGAGAGATCGATAGAGAGATCGATAGTGGATCGATGGAGTGAAATCGATAGTGAGATCGATGGAGTGAGATCGATGGGGTGAGATCGATGGAGTGATATCGATAGTAAGATCGATAGTGGGATCGAAAACGAGATCGAGAGTGAGATCGACAGTGAAATCGATCGAGTGAGACCGATAGTGAGATCGATCGAGTGAGATCGATAGTAACGTCGATAGTGAGATCGATCGTGGGATCGATAGTAGACCGAAAGTGAGATGCAAATCGACATGCAGATCGAAACGCAGATCGGAAAGCAAATTGACATGCACATCGATAAGCAAATGCAAATGCAAACTGTCAGGCACATCGACGTCCCGTGCTGTATGCTGTGCCAAGAGCGAGCGGCAACGCAACAATTTCTGATCACCAAGGCTCCCAGTACGACCGTTGGCGGAACAGGCTCTTAAGGGTCGCTCTAAGAAGCTCCCGGGAGGCCCCAAGAGGCCCCCAAGAAGCCCCAAAAGGCTTCCAAGAGCGAGCGGCAACGCAACAATCTCCACTGGCATCGTCAGAACAACAATCACCACTGTTGCGCATTGCTGGCTCCCTCCCCCCCCCAACCTCCTTATCACCCGCAGGGTGGTCGTATAGGTAGTTAAAACAGGATCGAAACATCGTCCCCAGACTTTCGTTTGAGTCGGAGGTTGGGGGGTGAGATCGAAGTGGAACGGAGAGCCCCCCACCAGGAAATCGGTTTCGGTTTCGTGTTCGTGCGTGCCGTGCGTGCGGGCGAGGCGGAGCTGCGTGGGCGGGCGAGGGGAAAGTCTCCTGTGGCTGAGGCGCGGCCGGACCAAATGATTCCCCCCCCGGCAAACGGGGCCGCGCGGTGTCCCGCCGGTGTCCCGCCGGTGTCCCGCTGGTGTCCCGGTAAGTCTCCTGTGGCTGAGGCGCGGCCGGACCAAATGTTTCCCGACCGGCAAACGAGGCCGCGCGGTGTCCCGCTGGTGTCCCGCCGGTGTCCCGCTGGTGTCCTGGTGTCCCGCGGGTGCGGAAACGATAGTGAGACCGATAGTGAAATCGATTGTGAGATCGATTGTGAAATCGATAGTGAGATCGATAGTGAGATCGATCGAGTGAGATCGATGGTGAGATCGATTGTGGGATCGATAGTGAGAGCGATAGTGGGATCTATGGTGAGATCGATTGAGTGAGATCGATCGAGTGAGATCGATAGTGAGATCGATAGTGAGATCGATAGTGGGATCGATGGAGTGATATCGATGGAGTGAGATCGATGGAGTGAGATCGATGGAGTGATATCGATAGTGCGAACGATAGTGGGATCGAAAACGAGATCGAGAGTGAGATCGACAGTGTAATCGATCGAGTGAGACCGATAGTGAGATCGATCGAGTGAGATCGATAGTAACGTCGATAGTGAGATCAATTGTTGGATCGATCGTGAGACCGATAGTGAGATGCAAATCGACATGCAGATCGAAATGCAGATCGGAAAGCAAATTGACATGCACATCGATAAGCAAATGCAAATGCAAACAGTCAGGCACATCGACATCCCGTGCTGTATGCTGTGCCAAGAGCGAGCGGCAACGCAACAATCTCTGAACAACAAGGCTCCCAGTACGACCGTTGGCGGAACAGGCTCTTAAGGGTCGCTCCAAGAAGCTCCCGGGAGGCCCCAAGAGGCCCCCAAGAAGCCCCGAAAAGGCTCCCAAGAGGCCCCCAAGAGCCCCCCTAAGAAGCCCCCCAAGAGCCCCCCTAAGAAGCCCCCCAAGAGCCCCCCAAGAGGTCCAAAAGACGCGCCCAAACGGCCCCCCACAAGCCCTTGCAAAATGAACGAAATGATGTATTATTTCAGTAGTTCCCGGGGGGAGGGGGATTGGTACCAAGGCGCCCAAGAGCGAAGGGTGACGTAAACAACTCGACACCAAGGCTCCCAAGAGCGAGCGGCAACGCAACAATCTCCACTGGCATCGTCAGAACAACAATCACCACTGTTGCCCATTGCTGGCCCCCTCCCCCCCCCCAAACCTCCTTATCACTCGCAAGGTGGTCGTATAGGTATTTTGGAATACACCTCCCGTAGAGGGACAGGCCCGACTGAAAGCTCGCGACGTGGCGCCTCCTCTGTGGGCCGTGGGGCCCGCAGAGGAGCCGCCGGAGGACCTTCGTGCGCAGGGCGGGCCCCGCGCGGAGCGCGCCCCGCGCGCGGAGCGTACCCGGCAATGGGCTCGCTCAGCGATGCATGGGCCCACGGGGCCGTGCCTCAGGGCCTTCCCCCGCGCCCGCCTCCCCCCCCCCCTTGGAGCTGGTCCTCCTTCCTCCCCCCTCTTCCCCCCCTCCCCCCTCCTCCTCGGGCCCCCCCCCTTCCCCCTCCCCCCACCTCCTCCCCCCCTCCTCGCCCTCTCCCCCTCCTCCCCCTCCCCCCTCGGGAACCTCCCCCTCCTCCCTCCCCTCCTCCCCCCCCTCCTCCCCCCCTCCTCCTCCCCCCTCACCCTCCCCCCCCCTCCTCCCCCCTTCCCCACCACTCCTCCCCCCTCCTCCCCCCTTCGCCGGGCAGCAAAAAGCCTGCCCGGCAACAGCGTGGAGCTTCCCAGTGACTCTCCGCCTGTCTGGGTGCCCTACTCTGCGCCTCGTGCCAGGCCATCTCGGAGCCCACCTGGACGAGGCTCTGGGCCGCCCCTCTCGCCGCACACCCTTGAGCCCGTGAGCAGCACCCTCTGCTGCATGGCAAGCACACGGTCGCGCGAAGACCCCCGAACCCCGAAAAATGTCGGCGCCTCACCTTTCTGATTCCTCCGCGGGCTTCCGCGGGCTTCCGCCAGCGGGCCCGCCGCCGGCTCTGCCTATAAGCGCTGGCTTTCTCCGCCGGCCCTCCCTTCCGAGGGCGAGGCTGCAGGGGCCCAGGGGCACACAAACAAATGCACAAAGGTCCCAGGAGTCCCCCTATGTTCACATATGTTCTGGGTTTTCGTCTTCCCCCCTCCCATTTTTCCATATATTCCTGGGAGAATCGACGATTAGTTGCGTCTGTGTTTTCCCCTCCTGAGAGACGTGCCGAAGGCGAGGCCCTTCGTGGAACTTAGATTTAGCCAGTAGTGTGGTCGTCGTGCGCGAGCCGCGCCGAGGCGGCAAGAACATGCCGTGACCCAAAACTCCCGATAAACTGGCTGTTCCCATACGGGGCCCCCAGGACGCCCGGCACTTTCCCTGGGGCTGGCTCTTCTTCCTGAGCCGTCTTGTCTTCCACCAGCGCGCACGTTTGGGATGAGAGGGAGGAGAGCTGAAGGGAAAGCGGCGCCGCGACGAACCTCTGCACTGCCAAAGGCAAAGACCTGCAATGGCCCGGGACTCGGAGGTCGGGACGAGGGGGAATGAGGAAGAGAAGGTGGAAGAGGTGGAGGAGGTGGAGGAGGAGGGGGGGAGGAGGAGGAGGAGGAGGAGGAGGAGGAGGAGGAGGAGGAGGAGGAGGAGGAGGAGGAGGAGGAGGAGGAGGAGGAGGAGGAGGAGGACAAGGCGGGAGAGCGGCCAGCGTGGTTGCCAAAAACGGCCCCAGGGGCCGGCGAGGGCCCCCGGCGGCCAACCACGTCGAAAAACCCGCGCCGGGAACCGTTCAAGACACCAGAGGCCTGGAGCGCGTTTCTTTATTTTTGGAGATAGTGGGCATTACAGTGGGGGGGGAGGGGCCAGGGCCCCCGGCGGCCAAACACATCGAAAAACCCGCGCTGGGAACCGTTCAAGACACCAGAGGCCGGGAGCGCGTTTCTTTATTATTGGAGATAGTGGGCATTACAGTGGGGGGGGAGGGGCCAGGGGGGGGGGTCTAGAATGTAACGCCTCCCCCCGCGTTACGTTATAGGGGGGGGGAGGAGGGTCGGGGGGCTATAATGCCCATCATGCCCCAAGCAGTCAAGAAACACGCTCCTGGGGACGTGCACCCTCCGGGGGGGCTCCAAGGCCGGAGAGCCTCGGCAGCCCGAGGTCCGTCGGCACGAAGGGCTCGGCCGACACCAGCGCGCAGCCGCCGGCCTCCGCCTCGGGCACCGGAAGGCCGCCGGAGCCGAAGAAGTAGCGGGCGACCACGCGGGCGAAGTGGGACCTGGCTCGGGGGGGACGAGAGGGAAGGATAGCAAAGGGCAGGGTAGAGAATCAGCTCACGCAGCTGGTTTTCCTGGCGCCTCCTGGCGCCGGGATGCGCCCACGTATCGAGGAATGGCCCCAGCGGCGGGGCGGAAACCAGCAATCAGCAGATTTCGTCCCCCCCCCTTTTCCTATCCCTTCCTTTCGTTCGGCCCGACTGGCGGGGGGGGTCTCGGGCACATCCAGTGTCTCACAAAACACAAGGATCGCTGCTGTCGTTGTTATCGTGAGTATGGTTATTATCGATGTTTTCGTTGTTATTGTTGTTATCGTTATTATCGTCATCGTTGTCGTTGTTACCGTTATTATCGTTGTTACCGTCTTGACTGTTGCGGTCGTTGTGATCGTTACGTCGGCGTCTCCAAAAACACAAGGATGAGATGTAAGGGATATCGCCGCTTATCGGAGTCGGAGCGGCGCGATCACGCGAAGCCTGGGCCGCCGCCCAGAAGTAGTAGCCGGCCTTTTGTCGTCTTGCTTCTCCTGCTTCTCATAATCCCTGCTCTATAGGCCCTCCATCTCCTCATCCTGGCCTCCCACAGTCTTCACCTGCCTCCTCCTCCGCCACCTTTGGACCTCTCTTGTTCCGTTCAGCGATGGCGGGACCTCCGAAAGACCCGACCCTTGGCCAGCGCCCCGGGGGCAGGGCAGAACCTCCGCCTGGACATTTGGTAAGACGTTGGGTGCCTGGTATCGGCGGGCATGGCGACGCCAGTTCCCGACTTTGTGGGCTCGGGACAAGGCACGAGGGGGGAGCGTCCATCCTCGACATGGGGCGCGTCCAGACAATAGCCCCCTGGGGGCGCATCCCCGAGCCCCCCACCTGTTCTGAGCGGCCAGTTTGAGGACTCACGGGGAGCGGGGGCGAGAGATCGCCTCAGGGTGGAGGGAGGAGAGGAGCACCAGCGGCACAAACATGATTCTTCGGAGGTCCGCGCGGACTCCCTGAATCGGCGCTGGCCACCCCGAGCGCGCCAGGGGCAGCGCCAGAGGCGCCGCCTGGGTCAGGCCGGGCATGTCCTCCTACATGCGGGTTTTGGAAGAACAGAAGAAGTCAAACCATAATCAAACATTGCTTTTTACCGCACCAAAAAAAGGGCACGGCAAATCGTCACCAGACTGTTCTTTTGCCCGACTTCACGCCAGGGGGGGGGGGGCAAGCGCCGATCCAAGGAACCTGCGGGGACCAGCGAGGAAGGGGTGCTCATGCCGCCCTGGTGCTCTTCGGGGGAGCGCAGGCGGCCCCGAAGCGCAGCCGCTCGAGGCGCGCGCGCGCAGGCGGAGGCGGAGGGCCTCTGCGCCGCGCGGCGGTCTGGGCGGGGCGGAGGCGGGGAGCACGGGGGGCTGGGCCCGTTTTCCACTATCACCACCACGAGTTGGAGTGGGAGGGGCTTCTCCTCCTGCTCCTGTTCCTCCTCCTCCTCCTCCTCCTCCTCCTCCTCCTACTCCTCCTCCTCTTCGTACTCCTCGTCCTCATCCTCCTCGTCCTCCGCCTCGTTTCCCCCCCCCCCCCCCCACAAACTGATGGTGGCGATGGAAAACAAGCCCATCACGAGGGACATCTGGTCGAGACCGGCGCGTCTACTGCCCCCCCGCGTCTACTGCCCCCCCGCACCCTTTTGTCTTGGACGCGGGTTACGCAGCGGAGGCCAGTCCACAAGAAACCTTCCATAAGAGACCCAACCCTGAGACCCCAAGACGTCCATGGATTTCTGTAGTGTGGGAGCGTCGCGCTTTCCATGGCAGAAGCACCGAAACCCAGGAAACCCAGGGCACCCTGGAGGCAAGCAGGGTGTTTCTTGGCATGGGTCCCCACTGTAGAAGCAAGCGCTGGCTCCCAGGCAGGAAAAAGGGCCGAAGGAGGGCCCGACGGAGGGCGAGCAAGCGATGGGGCCAGAGGAAAGAAACACCGCGGCGAAGGGACGGCGGCCGAGCGAAGAGCCGAAGCTCGCGAGCCCGCAGGGGCCGCCAAGCAGGGCAGAATCAGCAGGCACCGTCTTTTATTCTGAGAGGCTCTCTCTCGCCTTAGGTCGGACATGGCCCCCTTACAGGCGGATTATGGAAGAAAAATGGAAAGTAAGCAACACATATACAGACTTGTCGAAATGATAGAAAAATCGTTCCCAGGCTATCTTTTAACCATCCTGGAATGTTCCTCCTGTAGAGGGACATGCCCGACTTAGTTCTCGCCCATCTCTTCTGAGCGGCCAGTTCCATGGCTGGGGGGGGGCCTCGCGGGGATCTCGCCCTCGCTCGGACGTCCCTTCCCCGTGCATTTTTGTTCTGATTCGTCGCGCGTGAAATTTTCTTTCTGCTCGAGCAGCCAGGATGCTCCTCCATGGTCCTCGCCGAGACAATAAAAACACACGGCCGAGCGATGCCCAGGGATTGGGGGGCGCGAGAGGTCGCCCACGACCTGGCGGAGGGAACGCAGGCGGCCACGCGCAGCAGCGCGATGCGCGCGCGCGCGGCGGCAGAGGCCCTGCGCAGAGGCGGCGCGGCGGCAGGGGGCGGCGCGGCGGGGAGCGAGCGCGAGGGGCGGCCACAGCAGGAACTCGAGCACAAGGAGCCTTCCACAAGAGACCCGACCCGGAGATCCCAGGATGTCCGCTGACTTTTGGTGTGGGAGCGCCACGCCTTCCATACCAGAGCCATCGAAAGCCGAGAATACCAGGGCACCCTGGATGCAAGCAGGGTGCTTCTCGGCACGGGCTTCCACTGCATCTGGTCGAGACCAGCGCGTCTGCTCCCCGAGGCCCCTCCCCCCACCTTGCGGCTCTCTGTGCATGTTCTCTGTGTAGGCTCAGCGTCGGATCCACTTCCCATGCATCAGTGGCCTTGCCTGGTGCTTCACTCTTGCAGCTGCTCCCTGTTGCAGACTGTCGGTGACCCTCCATTGTTGGACGCCCGGAAAGGGTACGGGAACATTGGCACGATGCCCCACAGCAGATGCTGTCCAAGACCAACAGCAACCGCTGCTGGGCAGGCGGCCTTCCGTCTCAGATGGACAAGGTCCGCGGCGACACCGACCACGAGTCCTGCTCCAAATGAGCAAGAACACGTCTGTCGGTCTTTGCGGACATTCTTTCGGTACCCAGTTCGATCGTCCCGATCCATGTCATGGGGTCACAACGCCCCCAGACATCCAGCTGCTCCAAATGTTGTTGATGCGTGGGCCCTGGAGGTCTGGCGCACTAGCTTCTCTAGGGCCGGTTCTTCGTCCGGCGTCGTTTTCTGGCGCTCCGGAAGCCCGGCGAGGCGAGGGCCCCCGGAGGCCGAAAACGGCCCACGAGCCGCCTGCTGCAAGCACTCTGGAGCGTCGGATCTCAGGCTCACACGGTCCCCCCCGCCCTGCCACGGCGGCGACGGCGGCAGCCACGCCCGGGCCCCGCGGCACGGAAGCCGCCGCCGCCGTGGCGCCCCGCGGGCCCGAGCGAGATCTCCTGGCGCCTCCCTCTGCTCGCGCCGGGCGTCGCCGCCTGGCCTGCGGGCCCCGCGGGACCCCTCACGGAGCGATCCAGCTCGACACACGGCGCAGAAAGGTCTCTGAGATCCGACGTCTCGAAGGCAGTACACCACCGTGAAGGATCACGCCTGGAGCCCCCCGGCACCATCTTTCCGCGTCCTTTGTCCAGCCCGATCGATCCGTCGGGGCCCCCGGGCCCCAAACCGGGCGGCAACGCCCCACTTGCGAAAGAGATGCAGCGCCAGGATCTGAAGGAAGGTAGGGCCCAGGACTCCGGCCGCGTTTTTTCTCACTACGAGGCCTCCTAGATGGAGTCCGAGTGGCTGGGGTCAGAGGATCACGCCGCATCGCCGATACATCGACGATGCATCGGCGATGCATCCGCGATGCATCGCCGATGCACCTGCGATGCATCGGCGACGTCGTCGGCGACTTCGGCGTGATCCTCCGACCCCATCTACTCCAACTCCATCTGGGAGGCCCAGGTTCACGATGCTTCCACTTTCCCAGAGATCCGATGCCATGATTTGTTCAATGTGGGTCCCCAGAAGTCTCCATCCGTTCCCCAGGACCCGCTTTTCACCCTGGGTCGTTTTTTGACAGTCTCGGGCCCCGGCGAGGGCCCCCCGAGGCCGAAAGTTGCGACGAACCTCCGCCCCGATACTTTCCATGCGTTGAATCTCTCAGGATTCTCGCGCCGTCGGACCTCAGTGGGGGCCTCGCAGCGGCGGCGGCGGGCCGCCGCGACGGCGGGCCTCGCGGCGTGGAAGCAGGCGCCGGGCACGCGCACCCTGGCGGGGCCAGCGTCGAAGAGGCGCCGGTAGGTGAGCTGCGCGGGCATCTGCGCGCGGGCGATGTTTGGCGGCGCGCACAGGGGGCAGGGGGAGAGGGAAGGCTGCTTAGAAGGAGGCTGCTTCGTAGAAGGCGCCGGCCTTACACCTACAGACACGGCCCGCGCCTTCTAAGAAGAAGGGCTGCTTCTGAGAAGCCTTCCCCCCTCCCCCTACCCCCCTCTGCGCGTGGCCGACGGGCATGTCCTCCTACAGGCGAATGGAAGAAACAAGCAATTAAAAAGCAACCAGAAAAAAAAACAAGAACAGTCAGGGGAGCATCAACAAACTGTCGCCAGACAATTTTTCTACTATTCTTGAATATTCCTCCTGTAGGGGGACATGCCCGACTTGAATATATATATATATATATATATATATATATATGTGTATATACACATACGCACATATAAATATATATATATATATATATATATATATATATATATATATATATATACATATACATATACATATATATAGCACGTGCCGCGGGGGCGGCAGCCCGAGGTCGTCGTCGTCGTTGTCGTCGTCGTCATGCTCGTTGCGGGTCGCGTTGTAAACGGTGGGTGGAAATGCCAAATTGGGTGTGGGGGACGCATGCGGGCGGCCCCACTGGGGGGCTTCGGTGGTGCTCCCTATGAGCCCACGAAACGCTGTACTGGGTCTGTGTAAATGCTACATTTGGTGTGGTGGACGCACGCGGGCGGTGCCACTGGGGGTTTCGGTGGAGCTCCCTATGGGGCCACGAAACGCTGTACTTGGTGGGTGACAATGCCAAATCGGGTGCGGGGGACGCATGCGGAGGGTCCCACTGGGGGCTTCGTTGGGGTTCCCTATGGGGCCACGAAGCGCTGTAGTGGGTGTGGGGGATGCACGCGGGCGGTCCCACTGGGGGCTTCGGTGGGGCTCCCTATTGGGCCACGAAGCGCGGTACTGGGTGGGTGAAACTGCCAAATTCGCTGTTGGGGACGCGTGTGGGCGGTACCAACGGGGGCTTCGGTGGAGCTCCCTGTTGGGTCACGAACCGCCGTACTAGGGTGGGCGAAAATGCCAAATTGGACATGGGGGACGCATGCGGGCGGTCCCACTGGGGGCTTCGGTGGGGTTCCTTGTTGGGCCACGAAACGCTGTACTGGGTGTGTGTGTGTGTGTGTGTGTGTGTGTGTGTGTGTGACAATGCCAAATTGGGCGTGGGGGGCGCACGCGGGCGGTCCCACTGGGGGGTTTCGGTGGGGTTCCCTATGGGGCCACGAAGCGCTGTACTGGGCCGGTGGAAATGCCAAATTAGGTGTGGGGGACGCGCGCGGGCGGTCCCACTGGGGGCTTCGGTGGGGTTCCGTATCTGGGCTACGAAACGCTATACTGGGTGGGTGAAAATGCCACATGAGATGTGGGGGACGCATGTGGGCGGTCCCATTTGGGGGCTTCGGTGGAGCTCCCTATGGGGTCACGAAACGCTATATTGATATACGAAAATGCCGAATTGGGCGTGGGGGACGCACGCAGGCGGTCCCACTCGGGGCCTCCGTGGAGCTAGCTCCGTATTAACCTATGGGGCCACGAAGCGCTGTACTGGGTGGGTGACAATGCCAAATTGGGTGTGGGGGACGCATGCGGGCGGTCCCACGGTCCCACTGGGGGCTTCGGTGGAGCTCCCTATGGGGCCACGAAGCGCTGTATTGGGTTTGTGAAAATGCAAAATTTGGTGTGGGGGGCGCACGCGGGCGGTCCCACTGGGGGCTTCGGTGGAGCTCCCTATGGGGCCACGAAGCGCTGTACTGGGTGGGCGAAAATGCCAAATTGGGTGTGGGGGGCGCATGCGGGCGGTCCCACTGGGGGCTTCGGTGGAGCTCCATATGGGGCCACGAAGCGCTGTGCTGGGTGGGTGGCAAGGATGGAAGGAGGAGGGGGGGAGGAGGGGGAGGATGAGAAGAGAAGAAGAGGACAGGAACGCGGGGACCGTCTTTTCAAAACGAGGACCCAACACCACAGGATGGTTTGGAGAAATCAATACAAAGTCGCCGCTTGTTCTCTCAACATGGCCGTTCTTGTCGTCGACGCTGCGAAATGCGTAGCAAAAATACGACGCGGCGCGCATCGCGCGCGGCCATCAGTCCGGGCCCTCCCATCCTAACTATGAACAATCAGCCTGGCGAAATACCCAACCATATGCAGTTGTAAGTTCCGCAATTGTAAGGATCTTCTTCAATGGAGCCTCCAAATGGGGCCACGAAGCCCTGTACTGGGTGGGTGAAACGCATAGGGCAAGGGCTGTGCTGGGTGGTGGCGGACGCATGCGGGCGGTGCCACTGGGACCTTCGGTGGAGCCCCCTTTATGGGGCCACGAAACGTTGTATTGGGTGGGCGAAACGAACGGAGAAAAGGCTGTGTTGGGTGATGGCGGACGCATGCGGGCGGTGCCACTGGGACCTTCGGTGGAGCTCTATGGGGCCGCGAAACGCTGTACTGGGTGTGTGAAGCGCAGGGGGCAAGGGCTGTGCTGGGTGGTGGCGGACGCATGCGGGCGTGGCGGACGTATGCGGGCGGTGCCACTGGGACCTTCGGTGGAGGGAGCAATGGCTGTACTGGGTGGTGGCGGACGCATGCGGGCGGTGCCACTGGGACCTTCGGTGGTGCCCCCTATGTGGCTACGAAACGCTACATTGGGTGCGTGAAAATGCAACATTGGATGTGGGGGGTGCACGTGGGCGGTCCCACTTGGGGGCTTCGGTGGAGCTCCTATGGGGTCACGAAGCGCTGTACTGGGTGCGTGAAAATGTTAAATGGGGCGTGGGGCACGCACGCGGGCGGTCCCATTCGGGGCCTCGGTGGAGCTTGCTCCCTATTAGCTGATGGGGCCACGAAGCGCTGTACTGGGTGGGTGACAGTGCCAAATTGGGTGTGGGGGACGCATGCGGGCGGTCCCACGTTCCAAAGGGGGGCTTCGGTGGAACCCCCTTTTATGGGGTCACGAAGCGCTGTATTGGGCCTGCGAAAATGCCAAATTTCGTGTGGGGGACGCATGCGGGCGGTCCCACTAGTGGCTTCGGTGGAGCTCCCTGTGGGGCCACTAAAAGCTGTACTGGGTGGGTGAAAATGCTAAATTGGGCGTGGGGGACGCATGCGGGCGGTCCCACCGGGGGCTTCGGTGGAGCCCCCTTTTATGGGGCCACGAAGCGCTGTGCTGGGTGGGTGAACCGCATGGAAGGAGGGGGGGAGGAGGGGGATGAGGAGAAGAGGAGAAGAGGACAGGAACGCGGGGACCGTCCTTTCAAAACGAGGACCCAACACCACAGGATGGTTGGGACAAATCAATACAAAGTCGTCGTTTGTTCTCTCATCGTAGCCTTTCTTGTCGTCGACGCTGCGAACTGCGTAGCAGAAATGCGACGCGGCGCACTTCGCGCGCGGCCATCGGTCCGGGCCCTCCCATCCTAACTATAAAAAATCAGCCTGGCGAGTGACCCAACCATATGCAGCTGTAAATTCCGCAATTGTGAATATATTCTGCAGTGGAGCCCCTATATGGGGCCACGAAACCCTGTACTGGGTGGGTGAAACGCAGAGGGGCAATGGCTGTGCTGGGTGGTGGCGGACGCATGCGGGCGGTGCCACTGGGACCTTCGGTGGAGCCCCCTTTATGGAGCCACGCAGCGTTGTATTGGGTAGGCGAAACGAACGGAGAAAGGGCTGTGCTGGGTGATGGCGGACGCATGCGGGCGGTGCCACTGGGACCTTCGGTGGTGCTCCCTATGTGGCCACGAAACGCTGTATTGGGTGGGCGAAACGCACAAAGCAAGGGCTGTGCTGGGTGGTGGTGGCGGACGCATGCGGGCGGTGCCACTGAAACCTTCGGTGAGGCCCCCATATGGGGCCACGAAACCTTGTACTGCGTGGGTGAAACGCACGAAGCAAGGGCAGTGTTGGGTGGTGGCGGACGTATGCGGGCGGTGCCACTGGGACCTTCGGTGGGACCCCCTATGGGGCAACGAAACCCTGTACTGGGTGGGTGAAACGCAGGGAGCAATGGCTGTACTGGGTGTTGTGGGACGCATGCGGGCGGTGCCACTGGGACATTCGGTGGAGTTCCCTATGGGCCCACGAAGCGCTGCACTGGGTGGGCGAAACGCAGGGGGCAAGGGCTGTGCTGGGTGGTGGCGGGCGCATGCGGGCGGTGCCACTGGGACCTTCGGTGGAGCCCCCATATGGGGCCACG